GAGCGGCTTTGGGTGTTGGTTTTTTTGTTTCATTTTTTAAACAAAGCCTGTTATAGGTGTGGATGCACGATTCGGAAGCGCGGTCCCTACGGCGGAGGGCTGAAGGAGAAGGCTCGCAGCAACCAGACACGGCTGATCACAGCGCTGGCGGCAGCAGCCGCGGGCGGCAGAAGAGGCAGCTCTAGGAGCGGGCCCGAGGCCGGCGCAGCCCGGGGGAACATCGGGGGAGGCCCGAGGAGGACAGGGTACCGCTGCGTGCAGGCAGCCTGCGAGGATGATTTAGCTTGTGGACCCACAGCCCGATTTAAGCCAGGTCGAGTAGCTGCAGGACTGTAACCTTTAAGAATACACATAGCTGCATTTTAAAATACTAATGCTGGAAACGCATACTGAACTACCTGAAACTGCTGTGGGCACTAAAAACCAACAACCAACCCAAACAAACAAAACAAAGCCGACCCTGAGAGTTCAGGCCTTGATCAGCGAAGTACCTTTGCACGCCTGGCCAGTGAGCACCTTTGCCCAAAGCGCTGCTCCCATTGTCACAAGGGCTATTTGCATTAAGGTTAATTACACACGTAGGTACAAAAGGTGAAAGCTGTACTCTTATCATAGGCATTTAATTGCTTCAGAAGAAAAAGAACACCTATTCTGGAGTTAATTATTAAGAGCTATTTGGACATGGCGTATCAGAGAAAGCTCTCCATGTCCCACCAACGCGGAAGTTCAGCGCGTTCGCAGCCAGGACGCCGGAGTCACGCTTCCGAGCCCGCGGTTCCGCCTGTCCGAGCAGCGCTTTCGGTACCTCCGCACCTACCAACGCCTTCAAACCCAGACAGAGCACAGCGACGTGGAAACGCGGCACGCTTCCTGACCAGGCGCTCCTGCTGCTAGACAGCGCCGTTTGCAAACTTAGTAAAAACCTCCCGGCTTATCCCTCCTGCGTCTGAGCAAGCGTTAGGCGGCTCACCTAGCAGCTGCAGCAGCCAGCGCAGTTCTTGTCTCAGGAGACTGGTTTCAATGAGGTTTTTTAATGGGATTTATGCGGTCGGTACGTGTGAAATTTCACGGCGTCGGAATTTCTGAGTCCGTAACCGGTAACAGCGGTTTATTAGCGCGGGAACCGCGGCCGCTCTCCCCGTCCCCCTC